CAACTGCGTGAAACACACAGTAGTATGAAACTTCAACTGCGTGAAATACACAGCAGTATGAAAATTCGGCTGCGTGAAACACACAAACTTCACGCATGCGTGGAGTGTATGGAGTGTACGGGAGTGATTCACGCAATGGTGCGAATAGTCACGGCCAAAATTTAATAGAAAAACCTATCGAATTCGTTAGAAAATTCTATTGAATTTCTATTGAGCTGTTCCTTTAATTTTTTTGCCGATTCTATTGAAATGTTCAATAGAAAATATTCAGTAGAAAAAGTCAATCGAATTCTGTTGACTTTTTCTATTGAATGTTTTCTATTCAACATGTCAATAGAATCAGCCAAAAACTAATAGAAAGTTTAATAGAAATTCAATGGAATTTTCCAACGAATTCAATAGGTTTTTCTATGACATTTTTTCGTGCGTGATTCACAACAAAATTAAGTGATAATCGAAATTTGAACATTTTTAAGTGATGAAACGGTTATAATATTACAATTATCTCAATTATAATTAATTTTACGACAAAATACCGTTACAATTATTTTGTAGAAAATTTTCTCACCTATAAAAACAGTATTTGCACATTTTCCCCTGAACTCACTCAATCTGGAGACAATAGCGTAATTAATAAACATTCTCATTACGTTGTCATTATGTTTTAATTTAACAGGTTATTGACACCTAGACATCCGCGATTATTTTATAATTCAAATAAATTTCGGGCTGCATTGAAGACATTCATCGATTATCTCAATAATGATCGATCTTCCCACAGAACATCACAGGACTTTTTTGTAAAAAATGTTTTCACCCACGAAAAAAGTCTCCTGACATTTTCCCTTGAGCAAACAATAAATATTACAAACTTACCCAAAATAATGTTTACACTTCCCCTCAACGATTCTCGAAATGCTGAGTCTCCCGAGCATCGTGGGCCCGGACGAATCACCTGTTCACTACCTGTTTACGTTCCAAACGGAGCAACAAAACCCTCCCCCACTAAAAAAAAACAATAATAAAAATGAATTATTGAGAACGACGAGTGCCCGCAGCCGCCCCTAAACACTACACCTAGTTCACGAATTGCTACGTGTTCTCCACATTCTTCATTCTTGTCACCAAAACTGAGAAAATTATTCCTCGCATAACAAGACAAGTGTTTTCCAATCATCTGTTGAGTGAAGTTCGATTGTATTGGTCAGTACCAGGCATCAATGGCGGTCTATCATTCTTCTTTCGGGGAAATTGGGGGTTATTCCGGTGACAAACGGAGCACAGTGTTCCCATGACCCCAAGGGTAACAAGTAATATCTTAGAATTAGTGAAAATAAAAGAGTGGTGATAACAGATAAATCGACCCAAAGGATTGACAAGTAGATTATTAGGAATTTTTGATGAGGTAAGTTTGATTGATTTGATTGCATTAACAGGTGCAATTGGAGCACTTCTAACCTACGAAATTCTACGAATATTTTACGATAATATCCATGAGTATGTCATTTTGCATCGTTTAGTTGATAAATTTTGAGGCTTTCAGGGGTGAATTGTCCACTGGAAATCGTAATGCCACGGGAACCTCTGCATAATAGATTGTTGTTTACTCGTTTTTTATTATTGTTATTAATTCGACGGTTTCAATGAGTATAATACAACAAAATTTTTTATCGGAAATACTGCAAATTCTCCTGAATCATATCCTCATGGCATTCTCAAGGGGAAATTACAGCAAAATTGAATTTTTTAACGACGAAGAAAGACTTATTAGACATTTTTCAAGCTGCAGCAACTCATTGAATGGTTGACAATGAAAAATGTTGATAAAATTCATTAGTTTATTAGTATACCATGCGGAAGTAATCTAAGTAATCATACGGATTCCACTTGGACTCGTAATGTCATGTAAACCTCTGCATAATAGAGTGTTTTTACTCCATTTTTTATTGTCATCAATTCCCATTGCATATTCAATTTTTTCCATGAGTAATACAACAAAATTTTTTGTCGAAAATATTGCAAATTCTTCTGAATCATATCCTCATGACATCCTCTGGGGGAAATTGGAGTAAAATAGAATTTTTTGAAGACGAAGAAATACTTTTTAGGTATTTTTCAAGCTGTAGCAACTTATTGAGTTGCTATGATATGTCATTAATAATTTTGTCTTCAATTTTCATCTTTAATTTTCATGAAATTGCACAGCAGAACCCCCCTATTTCGATCAACAAATCCCTAAAAATGATGAAAAATTCTCCCAAAATTTGCTGCACCTTTCCCCAATCAACAATCATTGAAAAAGAAAAATTAATTCAACTCCTTTTATGATGTTTCTAATGAGAGCTAATGCGTTTAATAGAGAGATGATGAGCAATAGCTGAAGGATTGAACAAGTAAATTATGGCTATGAGGAAACGAAGTGGCTCTGGCTCGAAGCGCCAGCACAAAGGGAAGCTCGTGCCTATCTACGAGAGCCTCTTCAGGGGAGAGGACCTCACGCAGTCGCATCCCAATTTCTGGAATGAATTGTTCCTCATCAAACCGATGGTAACGATTGTCAATAGCAAAATTGCATTCACCTCTATTTCTTCTTGGTTCTGGGGGCTGATTTCACTTTCGAGAGCTTCTGTAGATTTTTTTTGGGGTCCTGATTCGCCTTTTCATGGGGTTTCTCCTCGTACTTTATCCTCTGGGGGGCGAACTTGTTCTTGAGGTGGAACCAGGCCTCACTCGTCTGGATCCGGTACTTTATGCAGTTCAGTTGGAAGAGACAGACTCTCCCGTAGTATTTCGTCATCTCCCAGGAGGGGATCGACTGGAATTGGAGGGACAGGGGTTTAGGGGGATTTTCGAGGGGGGCAGGGGGCGTTACCTGGATAATTTTGCACATGAATTTCCCAAACGACATGATACATCCTAACTTTTTGTGACGTATGTCATGGGATAACCAAAGATTTGGGGGCGTTTGTCACATGTCAATTGTTATGTCTGGAGTGGAGTAGTTATTCGAGGAAAAGTACGTCGGAGATTTTTTGGGGGATATCCTCGAAGGAAGACATTTAGAGAAATTTATTAAATAGATATTTGTAAAATAATTCATATGAAATTTTTCATTCATATAAATTCATATAAATCGATTTGCAAAATAATTCACATGCAATTTTTTACAAAAAAAGAAAATCTTGTGAACTCATTTCGTAAATATATTTGAAGGGAAGGGGAGAGAGATTTTTATCAAAAGACTCATTTAGTAGAGAATTTTATGCTTGACAGAAAAAGTTCTCACACATTTTTCCATTACGTTGAAAGATATTGGCGAAATAACTTCTATGAATTTTTTGTCGCAAAGAAGTGAATGTGTAACACATTTATCAGATGATTTTGCGAATATTTGTAACAGGAAAATGTTAGGGAAAATAATATGAAATTTTTCCTTAAACTTGAACCTTTCACAGATATTCCTTGAAAGAAAAAAAGAATAATAAATAAAATTAATATTCCTGACTTTCTCCTCAAAAGAAAATGAATAATAAATACATTCAGCAGATTATTCCGTGAACATCTTTGAAAGGAAGATCTTGTCATTTTTATTCAAAATTTATACTCTATGAGAATAAAATAAATATTTGTTAGGCGTCTCACATCCGCTTGCAGTATGATCCATTTATAAACCCAAAAACTTCATTAGGCATCTCAAATCGAGGCTGAGATTCTTCGTCCTCTCCAAAAAGAAATAAATATGAAATGCATTCATCAGATTATTTTGCGAACATCCTTGGAAGGAAGATCTTCAGAAACCTACATCCTCGTCATTTTTATTCCGAATTTTTAATTTTATTCAGAACTCTACAAGAATAAAATAAAGATTTGTCAGGCGTCTCACATCCCCTCGCGGTATGACACAATCATAAATCCAAAAACGATATTCTTCGAAAGAAAAAAAGAATAAATAAAATTAATATTCCTCACTTTCTCCTCAAAAGGAAATGAATAATAAATACATTCAGCAGATTATTCCGTGAACATCTTTGAAAGGAAGATCTTGTCATTTTTATTCAAAATTTATACTCTATGAGAATAAAATAAATATTTGTTAGGCGTCTCACATCCGCTTGCAGTATGATCCATTTATAAACCCAAAAACTTCATTAGGCATCTCAAATCGAGGCTGAGATTCTTCGTCCTCTCCAAAAAGAAATAAATATGAATTGCATTCATCAGATTATTTTGCGAACATCCTTGGAAGGAAGATCTTCAGAAACCTACATCCTCGTCATTTTTATTCCGAATTTTTAATTTTATTCAGAACTCTACAAGAATAAAATAAATATTTGTCAGGCGTCTCACATCCCCTCGCGGTACGACACACTCATAAATCCAAAAACCTCATTAGGTGCCTCAAATCGAGGCTGAGATTCTTCGCCTCAGCAGCGACCAGCTCCACACCTGCAAAGCCAACCTGAACTCCCTAGTCTGTCACTGCGTGGACACCCTAGTTGACGAGCACCCCTTCCGCGTGGTGTACGCCCTGCAGACCCTGGCGGCAGTGATCCAGTCAATGTACAAAAAAGCTAGTCAAATTGACAGCGACTTCAGCTTAATCGACATTCTCGTCGGCTTGGAGTCGGCAGAGCAGCGGATGACGACCCTCATGCAGCACTGCAACAACTTCCTGACGGGCGAGTACCCAGACAGCCTGAAAGCCCTCTGCCTCAAGCTCCTCCTGATCATCACGACAGGCATGGACAACCTCAACCAGAACTCCCTCCTCGAGCACGTCATGGTGAACGGTGTCTTCGAGTCGTTGATCCAACTCCTGCGGTCAACGGCGTCTCGAAATCGTCATGGGAATGATGCAGTTCTTCTTTTAACTCTCCTAGTCAACTACAGAAAGCACGAGAGCACGAATCCTCACATTGTGAAGCTGTCGATCCTCGATGATGAGCTGGCTCTCAATGGGTATGGCCAGGTCATCTCGAGCTCCCTCACGGACTTCTGCAGACTTTTTGTGCAACAGAAAGCGGAGGTGCAGACCTCGTGGCTGTCTTCACTCACCAGCATGGTGGGAAGCATGTTCATAGGTACAATTTTTTGCAATATAGGGGAGAGTGGGACAAAATGAAACAGCCGAAAAACGACTATTTTGACGCAATTCAAGCAAAAAAAATTATTTTATCAACTTTTTTTATTAACTTTTTTTTGAAGAGCAAAATCATAATTTCTCAACTTATTTAAGGGAGAGTAGGGTAAAACGGCCCCTTTTGACTTTTTTGTAATACTCATAACTCGGAAACAAATTCATTAATTGAGATCAGTTTAGGCTCATTCTAAAGGGGAAGAAGTGTAGTTTCCATCGAAAAAACATGTCATTTCATTCAAAATTCAATGAGCTGTTAACATTTTTGAAAAAATCAAAAGGGGCCCTTTTATCCCACTCTTCCCTAAATTTTAAATTAAAAGATGAATATTACCACCAAATTACGACTATATTACTTGAATTTCTCTGATTTCTACTAAAATTGAAATTTTCAATTATAAAATTCCAGTGTAGCAGTAGTTTTTGGGAGAATCACATTGAATTCTATTTGGAAAAAAAATCATGAAATTGTAATGGAATTCCAAATTTTTAATCAGTAAGAAAACAAGAATTCCTCAACTTATCTAAAATAGAAACACGAATATTCAGCACCAGCTTAGACAGGATTGTCGATTAATCGACTATTCACGAATATATTTACCTGAATTTCTCTGAGATCTATTCATTTGTGTTCAATAATTGATTTTTGCTCAAATTGTGAATTTTCACTTGATAAAAATTTTCAACAAGTCTACTGAACATTTCAGCCGGGAATTCTCAACAATATACAACAACTCTCAAAAAAAGCAAAACATCATCTCCCATCCAAGAATTAATTCTAAACCTTTTTTTCTGCAATCAAGAACTAAAAATTCTGGAACAAATGGCGATGTTTTTCTTTAAAAATTACAATAACATATTTCAAAGAACCAATCCCATAAAAACCATTTCGAACTATTGAATCTGCTCTAATAGGAACGAATCGTGCAAAATGTACCTTTCTCCTTTTTTTTCAAATATCAATAGCTCCTTGAATTGCCAATGAAATGGGACAATGTTTGGGAAAATAATCTCATTTCATTAACAATTCCTCATCCCAAGGAAAATAAAATTCTTTCCCTTTGCGGTACCCCTAGCAATGCAAAAAAATTCAAGTGTGCATTAAAAAAATTCCCAGGTGAAGAGGAAGCCAACAACCAGCAAGTCCGGGCGAACAACGCCCTCCTGCTGGCGCTGTACGAGGCAACCCACCTGAACCGCAACTTTGTCACGACCCTGGCGTTCACCCAGAGTGACACATCAGCCCCCCCATCCCCGAACAACACCCTGGGTCCGAACGCAGTGGCGCCAACCCAGCCCCCTGACATAATAACCCAGCCCTTCAACCTCCTCGCGACCTTCCTGCAGTACTGCTCGATCGTGATGCAGGTAATCAGGACCGAGGCCATCCTGAACAACGTCAAGCTCTGCTTCTTGATCCTGAGTTGCATTGCTGAGGACCAGTACGCCAACTCCTTGATGCACGACGCCAATCTGGCATTTCGAGTGCAGCTGCATCGAGTGCCAATGCACCACAGGAAGATCCACGACAAGGCAGCCCCCACCCAGCCCCTGGCTGCCACTCTCCTGGACCTGCTGGTGGAGTTCATCACCTCTCACATGATGAAGAAGTTCCCTCTGGAGCTGTACCACCAGTGCATAGGGGTCCTCCAGAGATTACTGTGCTATCAGAAGAGGTGTGGGGTGAGGCTGGGGTACCACTGGAAGGACCTCTGGACAGCATTGTTCAATTTACTTAAATTCCTGACGACCCATGAGGCGCATCTCGTGAAGAAGATGAACATCTTTCCCCTGGCCATCCAAGTCGTCAACATTCTGAATCTCTTCATCACGTATGGGGACACATTCCTCTCGTTGCCCAGCAGTTACGACGAACTTTTCTACGAGATCATCAGAATGAGACTGATATTCACCAATCTGAATGCCATGGCACTGAGGTACTCGACGATGGAGGCGTATGAGTACAAGGAGCATGCACTCAAGCTGATGAATTGTTTGGTGAATATGAGGGATATTGTTAATCACTTTCCACCGAAAATCGCAGCCTGGCTCGCTGCGGAGAGCCTCTCGACTCCGACTGAGCAACAGATCATGGCGATTATCATTCAGAATTATGATACGCTAGGACTGAAGCTGCAGGATAATCTTGATCAGTATGAGAGGTATTCGGAGAAGCCTAATCATAATGGCTTTTTTGAGGAGATGGTGAGTTTTTAATGATTTTTTTAAGGCTGTCTTTTTAGAAAATAATTCGATGATTTTTTTTTCTCCATTTTTGCGGTTGCTCTTTGATAGAAGGAAATTTAAAAATAGAGATAGATAGAAATCAAAGATGACAAATTTTATGGGATAAATATCAGGGAATAATGATGATTAATTTTTGAATTTGTCGATTTTCGTAGAAAAATCGATTTACGTAATTTTGGAAATATCTCTAGGAATAAAATTCTGTATGAAAAGAGCGGCTTAGTATTCCCGTTCTGAGTTTCTGATTTCTACTCATTTTCGTGAAATAATTTGTGTAAAATAACAAGCAATTTTCATTGACTTTTTCCTCAAATATTGAATTTTCAATTACGAAATTCCAGTTTATTAGTATTTTTTTATATAGGAAAGGAAAGATCTTGACATTTCAATGAAATTCTAAATTTTTGGCCAACAACAAAACGAGAATTTCTCAAGTTGAACTGTTTGACTTGAATTTTTATTTAAACCATGAATATTCAGTACCAAATTCGGCAGAATTTTCAATTAATCCAAAATTACAGAAAATTAAAATTAAAACAGCAAATGAAAATTTACATTGATTTTTCTTCAAATAGTGAATTTTGAACTATAAAATTTATTGAAATTCACGTTGAACTGTCACTTAATAAAAATTTTCAACAATATTTCCCTTTCCTCTCCAAGAATATTCCCACGAAAATTTTCTCTCGAATTCAATTTTTAAAGCCTACACTTAAAATTCACCTCCACAGGTAACTGGAGTAATTATTGACACCCGTGCCTCGATAGACTTGAACGCCCTGGACACCCAGGAGATCCTCCAGGAGCTCTCCAACATCTCGTAGTCCCCGTATAAACCCTCCAACCGTACTCATCACCATCAATCAAACGATCAATTTCACCTCCACGCTCAGAATACTGGAGTCAATGAAATGCGCCTTCAAGGTTTACAAAAAAATATGTATATTATTCAAGAATATTTAAAGAAACAAGAGTGTTCATCGAGAAATGTCCCGAACTGATGAATGATATTTTTTAACGAGTGTTCAGCTCTGCTCTGTAAGTAAATGCCTTTTGAAAGAAGTAATCTCGGAATGACTGCCTTCAACCGGAGGATCTCTCCGTCCTCTTCCTCGAGGCGAGAGCCACCCCAACTTTGGACTGGTTCTCCCTCCCCAGCTCTTTACTGATCCACACCCCAATCTCCATGATTTTCTCCAGGTCGACCCCAGTCTCGAGTCCCTCCCCATGCAAAAGATAAAGTAGATCCTCAGTGGGGACATTCCCCGAGGCTCCAGGGGCATAGGGACACCCCCCAAGGCCCCCAACAGAGGAATCAAATACCCTGACCCCCAGATCTAGACCAGCGAAGATATTAGCCAGTGCCTGTCCATAAGTATTATGACAATGAAGAGCAAATTGCGTCAGATCCCCAGAGGACGAGGCGCTCTTCACCTCGTTGAGGACGTTGACGATTGTCCTCGGGGTGCCAACGCCAATGGTGTCCCCCAGGGAAATCTCGTAGCATCCTGCCTCCAGCATCGAGGCTGAAACCCTTGCAACCATCGAGGGTTTAGTATTCCCCTCGTATGGACATCCTGCGATGCAGGAGACGTACCCCCTGACCCTAATCCCGTGCTCGAGGGACTTCTTGATGACCTCCCCGAGGCGTTTGATGCTCTCGGCGATGGAACAATTGATGTTCCTCATGGTGAAGGTCTCGGAGACTGCCCCGAAGACTGCGATCTCCTTCGCTCCAGACGCGATGGCGGAGTCGAGGCCCTTTAGGTTTGGAACTAGGACTGGGTAGGAGACTCCTGGAGCCTTGGTGATCGAGCTGAAGACCTCGGAACTATCCTGCATCTGCGGGATCCACTTCGGGGAGACAAAGCTGGTGGCTTCGATGGTCTTCAAACCAGTGTGAGAGAGCTTGTTGATGAAGGCGATTTTTGTTGAGGCGGGGAGGAGGGTCTTCTCGTTCTGGAGACCGTCCCGGGGGCCCACCTCCACGATCCTAACGAAGTCACTGAATCTTCGGGGGGTGAAGATGATCCTCGTGGGGAGGACGGGTCGCAGTGAGGCGAAGAACATTTTTCTGGGATTAAATATCACGTGTGGTTAGTCGCAGAAAAAATCTCAGAGAAAAATCTAGTGAATGTAAATAGTTGAATAGAAAATTTTATTCTGATTTCTATTGAATTCTATTAGTTTTTGGGGTAATTCTGTTGAAGTCATGTTTTAAAGAAATTTTTCATTCAAAATAGTGAATAATTTTGATTGTAATTTTAAGTAATTGGCATAAAAGAGAAATGGAATTTTTCAAATGAATTCTAACTGAATTCCAATAGAATTATCATACAGTTCCAATAGAAATGAAATGAATTTTTTAAAAAAAGGATTTCTATCAGGTTTTTCTCTACGTATGACGCTTCAAAAATTCCCAAATTTTGATAATTATATAGATATTTCCAAATTCGAATAATTTGGTTAATTATAATTTTAATAGAATTGGCACAAAAGACAAATAGAATTTTTTAATGAATTCTAATTCAACTCTAATAGAACTCCCGTACAATTCCAATAGAAATTCAATAGGATTTCTTCAAAAAAGAGCTTTCTATTAACTTTTTCTCCACGTGTGATGATTCAAAATTCTGATAATTTGGCAATTCTCATTTTATTTGAATTTACTTGATTCGAATAATTGGGTTGGCTTCTATGTCACGACAGAATGCCACATGAAATTTCGCCCACACCCTGTGCATGTGTGAGTTGACTCAGCAAAAAGAGTCAAAACATCAGTTCAGCACCTCTTAGATTAAAAGTCCTGCGTCCTCCAGACAAATACAAATCAATCAATTCTCATAAATAAAACCAGAATGTTCCCTGCTTACGCTTACCTCTCAGGCTACGACAGGCACAAGAAGCTCATAAACGACTACCTCCTTCTCAGCGGTAAATCACTCGGCAGCCTCAAACGAGACACGTATGTAGAAACCCATGACGTACACATCAACTATATCAACACTCATTCACTCTTCGTCCCGCAATTCTTATCAGCTGTTTGTTGATGCAGAGTGACTGAGTGTCGAAATTCATTTCGAATATGCGTGATTCAAACAGCTCTTGAATGATTCGAGGTCCCGGGACAAGAACGATCACGATGTCATCAGGGAAAATCATCGATTCCTGTGGGAGGACGAGGACGTCCCAGACACGTGGGAAAATCGTCTTGCCAAGAAGTATTATGACAAATTGTTCAAGGAGTACTGTATTTGCGACTTGACGTATTACAAGCACAACAAGGTATTTTTTATATTGATCAATTGGCTGATTTACTGATGCATTCAATGATTTAATTATTTTTCTTTGTGTTGAAAATAGAAATTTATCAAGTATGAATTATTTGAATACAAGTTCCATTGGAATTCTGGGTGTTTTTTAACATCTTTTGAAAAAGATGCAATCAGGGATGGCCAATATTAAAAGAATTTGCGACTTAGCTTGGTAAAGGTTTAAATATCCTTATCAATATTTAAAAATAGTTTGGGAGGGGGTAGGGTAAAACGGACACTTTAGACTTTTTTAAAATTATTCACAACTCAGAAACAAATGTATCAATAGAGCTCAGTTTAGGCTCATCACAAAGGGAAAGAGTTGTTCTTTGTATTGAAAAAAAATGATTCAATTTCATCAAGATTTCGACCCGTCACTAATATTTTTAAAAAAATCAAAAGTGTCCATTTCACCCCAACCTCCCCTACTATTGTTAGTTTAAAATTTCTGATTAATATTGAATTAATAGTTTTGAAATGCCTGAAATTCGCTGATTCCAATACCATTCGAGGGGATTCTTACACTACTGAGTTCCAATAATCTCATTGCCTCTTTACGTTGGGTATCGCGGGTCTTATTAATTATATACTAATGATGAATTAAATGTTTGATAATATGAGACTTTAAATTGTTCATTAAGTAAATAATTCTAATTTCTAATAATAATCTAACAATCGGCAATCTTACTCCCTAAATTATTGGTTAGTAAAATATTTCAATATTTGACTATTTAAATTGATGGTTACTCAAATATTTAAAAATTTGAGAGTAATATCAACTAAATGACGGGGTCAAAATTTAAGAGTAATTATGACTTATGGATATAACTATCCCTGGATGCAATTTTGTTGGGCGATCTTTTAATCTTTTGATCTTTTGATAGAAAAAATTCAATTGATGTTTATTTTTCAATAGAGTTCTCATTTTATATAGCCAATGTAAATATCGTAAATAGTTCTTTAAGCAAACGAAGGTACAAATTATGATAATTTAGTAGCAAATTAAAATTTTTACCGTAATTACTCTCCACATGCAATGGGACATTGTATCCTTATGCATTAAATAATAATAATAATAGAATTTAGCATTAAGAAACGAAGAAAAATACAAGGGAAGAAACCCAGAGAGTTTTGCCTCCAGGAATTTCTATAAAAACAAAACATATGTAGCTTATAAAATACTACAGAATTTTGATAGAAATTCAATAGTTTTCTTAGTAAAATGCCTTTTCAAGAGATGAAGATTCTTCATGCCCATCAAATCTTCATCCCATTTAAAGACACTTATGAAAAACTCCTGCATTTTCCTCAGGTTGCTCTACGATGGAGAACCGAGAAGGAAGTTGTCGTGGGAAAAGGACAGTTTGAGTGTGGAAACAAGAAATGCTGTATGAAGGAAGGATTGAGGTCCTGGGAAGTCAATTTCGGATATGAAGAGCATGGGGAGAAGAAAAACGCATTAGTCAAATTGAGTAAGTTAATTTTTCCCAACAGTGCAAGTCCAATCTTAGCACAAAATTCTAATAATAATTCGCAGCATCACAATTTGATTGAAAAACCAGTAATTAACGTACAGAACAAATTATTAGAAAAGATTAATCTTCCCCCTCCCATCCCAAAATGAAAATAATCTCTTCTCCCAGGATTATGTCCGGACTGTTCAGAGAAGCTGAACTACAAAACGAAGAAACGAGAAGTCAAACGACAAAAGGCTCTGAAGAGATTGGGAGTAGCCCCCGAAAAATCCCAAGTGGGTTCAACGTCAAATGAAGTTCCTGAGGCCACAATTAAACTAGAAACCGAAGAAAAAGATAACTCTGAGGATCCCCAAGCATCCCACCCAGAAGACTCTGACATTTGGAAGGGAAAACCTGTGGAGGGAGTCGAGAAAACCCGAGAGGAAGAGTTTGAGGAGTACCTGGCTGATCTTTTCCTATAAACAATTTTATTCATCAAAACAACTGATTAACTTTCTTCCTCCATCTACAAACTTACATTACATTATATTCAATATATTAATTTATTCAAAATAAAAGGTATTTTCTATACAAGTCCTGGGATATTGTATAGTTCAATACGAGAATAATGCACTTAAAATTCATTATCTTCGCCGAGAAATCACTGACTAATCGTTGATCTAGTTATTGGTCGGATATATTTTTTCTCCAATTAACATTGTACTACAATTGGATGAAATTTTCGTGATTAAACTCGTGTTTATCCACAGAAAGTAACTAAAAAATATCTGTAACTTCAATAATTTCTTTTTACGTTTCAATAAAGCACTGGATTACTGTTAATCCTAGAAATTTCGTGAAAAATTCTCAACATCGCGATGATTATTGTTCATTACTCCAACAATTTGTGCGACAACTAATTCACAACGAAAGGAGGAAAATTTCACCTAAAAAATTTCATTCATCCTCGACAATTTCAATGAGGATATGTAACGAGTATCAGCAATGTCTAATTATCGAAGAACCTATCTGAAGGCCTAAATGTTATTTTAATCGTTAGTATTGTCGGCTTGAACGTGACAACGTGAGCAATTACGTCATACGATTGAATGTAAAAACCGAATAGAATTTTGATTATTCAATTAGGCACGTCAAACCCTTCAATTTGCAATTTTACTCATCATCAAAAGGACTTTTTTTCGTATTAAAAGTTACGTCTAGTGGTTTAGCTAGAATAAAAAGACTAATTATTCGTTGTACTTTGGAAAAGGGATCGCCTGGCGATCGTTAACTTATTTACACTACAAAAAATTATTAGTTGAGAGATAATTTTGGCTTTTAGTGGTCATTCGATCAAAACAACGTTAACTGTTGGATCTAGAGAAAAAAGTAAATGAATCATTTTCCAAAGAAAAATTGAGTTGCATCCAATGTTTGTCTTGACATTTACTTCTGAAATTATCCATTATCGAGAGAATTTCATCATTAAAGAAATTCCATTTGACCATTTAAATCCAAAATCTCTTATCAATAACTGGGAAGTCGAGAATTTGAATAAATCGAAATGTTTGAATCAAAAAAGAGAAATAAACAGGCGAGGAAAATTGCTGGCAAGTGATTGAGTGGAGCCACGCAGATGAAAAAAAAATGAGCTATTCAATTATTTTCAATAATTTCTATCTAATTAAGAAACTTGGCATTGCTATCTCAGTCTCGCTTTTGTGGTTCCACTAGAATAAAAAAAAATCAAGGATTTCTTGAAGAAATAACAATAGCTCAAGATGGTTTAGTTACAGCTGGACTTCCTGTTGCCAGATTTTCGTGAATTCTGCTTCTGGGAGTCGCTGTCCTCATCACTGCAGTCCTCGTCGTGCGTGTGAGTCACATTACGAGGGGTTTCTGGTCTCGCATGGGGAATTAGAACATTATTTTCAACCTCCAGAGCTTTCTGAATACGAGAGAAATGAAATCAAATAATTAAATAAATGAGAAAAATGATAATAGAAAAGAATAAAATTATAAAATAAATTACGTCTTCAGTTCGGATAATTGTTTGAAATTAATACTCACAGCTGCTGGATGATTCTGCAGTTCATCCTCGTACGATAGTTTGAATGTCCTTGTTCTACTTATCATTGGAGTCTCCATTACAAAACGTTGTTCGTGAGCCACTGTACTCTCGTGTGGCATCTGCAATTGAATTGTTAAATAATGCAGTTATTCGTATTCCCATTGAGGAGGAATTAGGTTTTAAATAGAACGATTGGAAAATTACTGCTGAAATTTCAAAAACTTCAAATAAAAAATCAGTCAATTTCAAAATCAGAAAATGGTTGAAAATTATGAAAATTCATTAAGGATATGATTTAAATTGAATTCACCTTCACAATATTAAAAATTAAAATACTATTAATTAAACTTCAGAAAATATCTAACAGCGTAAACAATTTCTTTAGAAACCTTTTTATGAAGAGAATTCTCATAATCTAACAAAAATCTGATATTTTCCTCTTAACTCGTCAGTTTCAAGGCTATTTGGAGAATAATGTCTGCGGTTTTTTCACTTGTCTCCTTTCTCTTCACAAAATAATCCATAAATAACTTCTGAGTAAAGATACTTATAGAAATTTTGAGTGACTTCGTTCACTGAGAGAGTAATCTAAACAAAAAAATTCTGACATTTTCTTCCCAGCGCTCAAATTGCGTTGAAAAACCCCTAGTATTTTCAAAAAAAACTCAATGGCCCGGTTGCACCAGCTCCGGGTAACGAAAACGTCAGATAAGAAAAAAAAATTAAATTTGGATGTTCGATGTTAATTCAAATGGGGCTGCAGGATAAATAAAAAATTATTCTTCCGGTCAAATATTGAAAAATTATGACCCCTACGATATAATTGACCCCGAGGATAACTTTTACCCTGGAGTTTATTACAGGGATAACAGGGCTTGATGCAACCGGGCCTATGGAATGTTTTAATTTGTCTCTCTCTTTTACAGATTTTTTTTGAAAAATCTTTGAAAAATAAAAAAAATTAAAAACATACAATTCCATCCGCAAATTGAACTTACCAGCATGGCAGGTGCTCTAAACATGTAGGAGAATGGATAATAAATGAGATTCAGGAACGTTGCTGCATACAAATCAGCATACCTCACGACCTGACTACTGAAGAAGGTCTGTCTGCTCCCAGACCTGAACAGTGAGCCCATCATACCATAAGCGAGATCCATCTTGTGAGTGACATCCCTGATAGAAGCCCTGAGTTTCGAGATATCAGGCTTCTCCTTGGTGCTGCTGTCCAGATTCTTGTACATCTCCCCAAGCATGACATCGAGATTCTGCAGCTCAGCGAAGAGCTGACACTTGTCAGTCCACACGTGTAGCTCCTGCACAAGTTCAGGAACAATCAAAAATGTTCTCCAGCCCCTGATTTTCTTGCTCTTCAGAATGTCTCCGAAGATGTGATCTCCAATGTAGAGGACGTCTTTTCCTTTGGCTCCGATCATCTCTGTGAATACGTCGCAGGATCCTCCGGAGTAAACTTCACCTGTGTGCAGGGGACCTTTGTGAGTTCCCAGCTTCAGAGCTCCAGTTTTTGTGTCCACCTGTGAGGAATAATCATTGAGCGAATGCGTAGAAATAAAACGAATTCATTGAGGAAATGAGATTGAACAACTACAGGCGCATATCATCAAGTGTAATTAGATTTTTTATTCATTTAGGGAACTAATGAATAATAATGGGAATTTAATGAAAATAACTGCATTTGCAGTAGAAGTATACTAAATTTTTGAATAATGAATAAATGAAGTAAAAATACTGAATTTGAGGAATTAGAAATAAGTAACTTGCGAATTTACGAATACTGCTAATTTTTTGACTCAATTCACTTCTTAAAACTGTCATTATTACTTTTTCATCTAGCTCAATTTTTATTTTATCAATAAAATTGGATTTTTATCTAATGTAGTCAAAAGTGATAATTAATACCAGATTGTAGGTGAATTGAGTGTAATTAATTTTTTTCATTCATTCAGAAAATATTGAGTTATGTATATTATTATTCTATCAATGTTTTATGTATTGAAAAGAATTTTTCTACAGCTGCATATCATCAAGTGTGATTAGATTTTTTACGCATTTAGGGAACTAATGAATAATAATGGGACTTCAATGAAAATAACTGCATTTGCAGTAGAAGTATACTAAATTTTTGAATAATGAATAAATGAAGTAAAAATACTGAATTTGAGGAATTGGAAATAATTAACTTGTGATTTTAACGAAACTAGTTGCATTTGTAGGGGAATAATACTAATTTTTTGACTCAATTCACTTCTTAAAACTGTCATTACTACTTTTTCATCTAACTCAACTTTTATTTTATCAATAGACTTGCATTTCGGAAAATTCATTGATGAATAAACCAAAAATATCCAATTATGTCTATTATTATTCTATCAATGATTCATGTATTTAAAATGATCACTAGTAATTTCAATAAGAACAATTGCATTTACCCACTAAATTTCCACACATTCCAAATATTCTTGAAAATACAATGAAATAAATTTGGCACTCATTCCACTTGTCAAAAAACTCGTGGAAAAATTAAAATAACTAAAAATAATTCCACACTCAGGATGAAATAATGACCCACCTGTCTCAGGATCGTTCCCTCCCCGAAGAACAGTGGTTTGTTGGCATCGACAACAATGGTATCGAAGTACGTCTTCCAGTCGCTGTGAGGCTCGTCAGGACGTGCCCCGTGGGGAAAATCAAAAAGATAGGTCATGATCTTGTCTGTAAATACGTAGTCACTGTTCGTGAGGAGGAACACCTTGGCTCCACTCTCCCTTATCCTCCTCAGGAACATGGGGAGACGCTCGTCCTTCTTCACGTACTCCTCGAGGTTCTCTGTGGTCTTTGACTTCAAGTCCCCCTGGATGTGGATCCAGTCCACTGCGTTTCGAACGTCCTGAAAGATGCTCTTGAAACTCATCGTGAGCTCCCCCTCCTTTACTCCGGTTTTCTCTCTGGTGTACTGCGGGGAGTTTGTGAAGAAGTCAATGAGACACGCGATCAGGTAGGTCTCGGGGAGATTGAACAGAGTGTTCAGGACGTAGACTCGGTTCTCGTCGAGCTGGAGGAATTTGTTGGGGTAAAGTTCGTATACCTGTGAACTAGCGATGAATTCAAAGGGTTTATCAATTTGTTGGACAACGAGAAAGTAACAAATTTTTGCTAGAAGGTTAAAGACAAAATGTTACATTAATTTTTCTGTGGAAAATTAAATCATTAATAACGTTTTGCCTAAACCTTTTCCCCGCCGACATATTTTGAATATCTCTACAACTACTAGAGTTACGGTAGATTGTCAATACATTTGTTTTCGTAACAAATTTGATGATCTCAAAAAAACGTCAACGTTTTTATCTAAACGTCTTCATTTATTCCATTCGATGGTTTAAAAAAACCTCTTCACATGATTTCAAAAATATCTTCTAACCCACTGAGTTTAAAAAAATATATCATATTTTCCTCGTGTCCCCCGAAATTCCAGCCATTTAGCTCTCAAGAATGAATTATTGAATAAATGAATAATAAAATGAACAGATAAAAAATAATTACGTGTCCAAAAAATGCACAAAAAAATATCAAACTTACTGCTTGAGAAATTCAAATCCATGAACACAGACGAGAATATTTCCATAAGCATCGACCTTCAACAAGTTTCCATAAAGGGTATCAAACCACAAGCCTCTGACTGGAAAACTGGGATCATACTCGAAGGCACGAATCTCCTTGGGATAGCCCAGAGAAACCAAACGCTCCTTCAGTAAATTGAACCCCAACTGCTCATACTGGGGGGACTTGTACTCCGCGAGAGTATAATCCATGTCGAATCCATAGAATTTTATGTTCTCCAGATGGAGACTCCTATTGACAAATATTCTGCAACAATAATTGTGGATTAAATCATCACCATTTGGCGATTGAAGTATGTGAGAGTGGAACCTGTTTCTAGCCTGGTGCCTGGGGCCCATTAAATCCATATATTCCTCCCGAGGATCTCCAAGCGACAGGCAACTCGATTGATCCGTATCGGTTACACTTGTCATTTCTGAGAAATGAGACGTCATTGTAAAATTATCTGTCCATCGGTTGAAGCTCACGTGAGAGCCCATGTTTTTCGTTTTTATTTTCACGTTTTTTTCCATCGTTTTTATTTTATTGAGTCATTGTTTGCGCATTTCTCTCCGATCCTCAGTTGTTTTTTGTGAATTTATACCGATCAAGATCGCCATTGTGGAGTGTATGGATTAGTTTTTGTAATTAGATGATGTAAATTAATGAGTTCATCGAATTTTGCTCAGTTTTTATCAATACTACAGGTGAAATTTTCATAAGAACAATGCTTGTAGCTCTATTTGTCATCGACGAAAACGATTTCTGTGAAGATTTTGCTATAGAAAACAGAGGCAAAATCAACCCTTTTAATAACGCTTCAAATATTAATGACTCATTGAATGTTTAACAAAATGAAATGATTTTTTTCCTGTGGAAAGTAAAATTCTTGACCGTTGCTATGAGCTTCGACTTAATTGGTACATTTATCGTATTCCCCAAAATCAAAAATTTAACTAAAAAAAGAAAATTAAGTATGTAATTTCGCAAAAATCATTTTTAACAGAAAATAGTGCATTCAATTCTTGCGTTCTTCCTCTATAAAAAAAACCCAATGGCAATTTCACTGTTTGATCAACATTTCAAGATATAATTAGAATAGTCAGTGTATCGTGTCAATACATGGAAATTTTCGTGAAGACTATGTTTGTAATTCTATTCCTTCGCAAAAAAATATTTAATAAAAACTTGAGTATTTCCCTGCATTTGAAAAAAAACTGAAGAAGAAGATTGAATTAATTGCGTCTTTTTTCAAATTTCTACTAAAATTAACTTCGCAAAAATCATTTCTCAACAGAAAATAGTGCATTCATTTCGAGTCTTCTTCTGCTAGGAAAAAATCCCAAAGACAATGTCGCTATTTCTTAAAAAACAGTGAAATTTTCATGAAGACCGTTTGTAATTCTATTCTTTCATAAAAAAGGCTCTCATAAAAACTTGGCTATTTCCCTCAAATTGAAAAATATTTGAAAAAGAAAATTGAAATAATTGTGTTTTTTTCCAAATTTCTACTGAAATTAATTTCGCAAAAATCGTTTCTCAACAGAAAATAGTGCATTAATTTCCAGTATTCTTCTTTAAAAAATCCCAACTTCAAGATATAACCAGAAATGCTAATGCATCGTGTCAACTCATTGAGATTTTCATCAAAACAATATCTGCAATTCTATTCTTTCTTCAGAAAAAACGTTCTTATAAAAACTTGTGGAAAATTTCTGAAAAATTTTCTCCATCACGAATGCGTTAACATCATTTCGCACTTAATTTTTTGATATCCCTCTTAAATCGATAAACTATCGCTCGAGAAATAATGTCCCACGTATCTCTGAAATGAGAAAAAAACGCGATCCTTATCATGGGCACTGGAGTGAAACAGCTGCTCACGACGTGGATAAAAATATTGACAAAAATGCACAAGGCTCGTCAAAATGTTATTCTCGTTGGTGACTAACCCACGGCGCACAAACACATGTGAAAATAATAAAAAGACAATGTCATTGTTCCTCCGAGCGGCGGAAATAGAGCAGTAGAAAAATAAAATGGTCAGAATAATTTCACTTACTCGTTCGGCGCGAGCCTCTGAGGATTAACGAACTTGGAACTTTGTATTGAAACGTCATTGCACATGCCCTTGATCTTCATTCTATTTTATTAATGAGTGAAGAGACTATCAGGTACTCGATACGAGGAGACTATCAGGGAGTGGATATAGTCGACGCTTCGAATAACGAGGAAAATTGCTTCGAGGAACTCCTCGACTAACGCAACTTTCGAGTAAAAATAAAAAATATAGGAATGATTAAAGAGGCAACTTTCACGTTGCGTCACTGTCTGGAAAATCGTTGGACGTTTGGTTGTTTAAATTCTGATGATTCAACTTTCAAGTGCACTCGTCGTTGATCGCGGAGTTACTGACTGCCTGAGCCGGGGAACTCTTTAATAAACGCAATAAGAGGTGGATCTGTATTTCCGGGGGAGTTTAGTGTGTGTGTGTGTGTGGGGGGAATTGAGCTGGTGGGCGAGATTCACTGGAAATCCATTGGACTTGCTGGAGAGGAGGGTGAGGTACGGCATTACCTCGACATTGAAGTATGGATAGTCGCTTGGCACGAATTGTGGGTATAGTGTGGGATGACCTAGTACTCCAGTGAAATCGAAACGGTGGTAATGAAGGGAGGGGGAATTTATTCTGAATGGACTGATTGTTCGCGGAAATCGTTGAACAAATTTGAATGATGAAATTGTTGGGGGATTGTCTTGGGAATGAAGGGGATTGAGACAATTTAGCTGGAGATGTGTTCTGTGGAAAATTTACGGGGCTGTAACAGATGTTTTTTAAAGGGATGAGTGAAATTGAGAAATTCTAAATGAAGAGGGATGAGTTTTCTGAATATTTTTGGAAGAAAGGGGTTTGGAAAAAAAATTTGCAGGCTACGCAAATAATCTCTTAATGTTTTTTTTAAAGTTTAATAACTAGTTTTGAAGTTATTGATTGAAATAGTCTTTTTGAATTTCTTTTGAATGAATTGATTGTTGGCAGAAATATTTGTATGAACTGGAATGACGAAATTGTTGGGAGATTGTCTTGGGAATCAAGGGGATTGAGACAATTTAGCTGGAGATGTGTTCTGTGGAGAATTTTCGGGGCTGTAACAGATGTTTTTTAAAGGGATGAGTGAGATTGAGAAATTCTAGATGACGAGGCATGAGTTTTCTGAATATTTTTGGAAGAAAGGGGTTTGGAAAAAAAATTTGCCGGCTACGCAAATAATCTCTTAATGTTTTTTTTTAATTAGGAGAATTTGGAAGTAAATTTTTTTGTAAAAAAATTTCGAGCTACAAAAAAGGTTTTTGATGCTTAAGATTATCTTGTCGAAATTTTTGATGAAGCTGGACGAATTGGGAGCCAATGAATTTGCAGATTGTTTTGAGAAAAGAGTTTGAATAAAAATATAAGAATAATTTTTTTGCAGCGAGTGCTTGTGTTTTTCATGTTTTTTAGATTAGTTAAGTAGTGCCGGAACTATTTTATGAAATGAATAGACTCTTCGAATTTCTTTTAACTGATTGAATGGATTGTTCCCAGAATTCGATTGCAACGATGAAATTATCAGAGCTTATTTCAAATTTATTTCTTGGAATTGAAGAGGTTTAACAGATTCCAGACTTCCCTTTTTCCCCGGAATAACAATAAAATTTGATTGGAAAAGGGTTCACGAAAAATTTTCCGATGACATTTAGCGAGATAATCGATACGAATAAAAAAAATGTTTTCGCTGGAGTTCTCCGATTTTTTTCAATCCCAAAATCATAAATTGAGTGTGAAATTGTAAACGTGCAATTATCCTAAGAATCTTGAAAATAGTCTAGATATTTTTGGCGGAGTGAAAACACACGGCTTACGTGAAGCACCGCACGAATGCCGTGTGCCATGTGAAATGGGCAATTATCACGCGATGAGCCAAAAGGTGGGTCAGGATATACAATTTTACCTTGCCCTTGCGTGTAACACTTCCGCGCTGTCCATCAATCACGCGACGACTTTTTGATGTTCCCCTTCATCACTATAATGTATTTGATCATTCAAAAATGGTAAATATTGAGGCATTAATCGTTGATAGATCATAGGGGGGGAGTGAAATATGATAAGGAGTGGATGTTTGCCGCCAATATAAAGGATTATAAATCACTTCATGATTGAATGACTGACTGACTGAAGAATTCACTAGCGAAGCGGTAAAACGGCTCAAGTTAACTCACCCTTAGCTGAGTTTTCGGGGAATCTAAGGGAGATAACGAAATTTTTGTAATGAACTTTTTTGTAGAGCGGATTGAGGGCTACAAAAAAGGTCATGATAAAAATTTTGTTATCTTCCTTAGATTTCGAGATATTCATAAACAATTGACCAATAGGCAAAATCGACTTAAGGCTTCGCTGCTGACTTGAATAGATTGATTAAAAAAAATTGACAGAAAAAAAAATCGTGAAATATTGTTTCACCAAAGATAAAGATGTCTTCCTTTCGCCGCGGAAATTTTCCACAGGCGAATTTACATGAAATTTCGCTGCAGGGAGTCACAGATAACCAGCGCATGACGACATTCAAAGCCTGATAACACAATTGAACTTGAACTGTAGACGCGAATGAAACTCGCGTGATCTTCTCCAAAACTGAAACAACATTTTCGCTCTCGTAAGACCTCGAAAAATAGCGAGTGAAAAAAATGGCCTCGAGTGAATGTTGGACAGAGGGAAGTGATCAATTTTCCTCGTGGTACATATCCCTTTTTATCCTGGCGAAATGCCCGGATGATCGACGTCCTGGAGAGCGAAAATAATTTGACCTCCAAAAGATTCGGGATTATTGTAAAGAATGCGACGTGAGGATAAGTATGTCGACTAATAAGCGTGGGGACTGGGGAAGTCTCTTAGAGTCGTGTGATTTATCTAGGCACGAGTCTCAATTATCTGTCTGGTGGCTCATCAGGGCAATTTATCAACATTTCGTAAGAGTTTCTGCGAGATCGATGATGTAGTAGGGAAATCGTAGACGTGAGGTGACGAATTCTCTTGGCATTTTTAGTAATTTGGAGATTATTCTGATAATTAATGGCTTCAGGGGGAAATGTCAGAAAATAGTTTCGTAGGAAATTAGATTCTCTGAAGAAATGTCTCCGAGAGCAGTTATTATCTAGATTTTTTCGATTTTTTAATGCAGCGATAAAATGTAAGTGAGAAAATCTAACATGTGCGAGGATTCTAGGGAAAATTTACTTCCATTTTTGGTAATTTAGAGATTATTTTGATAATTAATAGCTTTAAAGGAAAATGTCAGAAAATCTTCTCCTAGGAAATTACATTCTCTATTTAGAAAAATGTCTCTAAAACTATTTGTTATCGAGATTTTTCAAATTTTAAATGCAGTGATAAAATGTAACTGAATTCTAGGGGAAAATTTCAAAAGACCTTGGTTTCTGTGACTGAGAAAATTCTTCATGAAATTGTATTCTGAAATTTTCTCCTGAAATTACTGGATATGAAGTGACGGAAATTTTTTTTAATTAAAAAAAAAAGTCCAAATTTGATATTTCTATTAATCTTGCATTTATTCTGGGTATAAGGGATTTGAGGAGAAAGTCATAAGATGTCTTCTGACATTTTTCCGTAGAACTCTGTTCTACTTAATTGTTAATTGTTCTAATTTTTTTCTTAAAAAATTGAGTAGCGAATTGGTAAAAAGGTACAAGTAAATTTCGACTATTGACCAGTTTTCGATGAATATCTCGGAATCTAAGGGAAATAGCACAATTTTTGTTATAACCTTTTTTGTAAAGCCGATTGAGAGCTGCAAGGAATGTAATTACGAAAATTTCGCTATCTCCCTTAAAGTCCGAAATATTCCTCAAATACTCGACCGAGAAATAAAGCGACTTGAACTATTTTACCACTTCGCTACGAAATTTGATTTTGATTTTGTTGAGTTTTTATGGGGGAAAAATATGGGTCTGTACATCAATGAGGAATGATTTCAGAAAAAGAAGTCAAAAGACAATTTCCTAGAGAACCTTCCCAGTGCCAAAAAAGATCTCTTAAAATTTTCTCCCAGAACCAGCAATCATCGACCTAATCTCAGTTTTTGAATCAAGCGATAAAACCCATTCATTGGAACGTGACATTTCTGTCAATTGTGCACTTATCTGTGAAACGAGTGAGCTTGAAAGAAAATGTCAAAGGTCATTTTCGTAGCTTACAGAATTTTCGTTCAATTTCCCTCCGGAACCCCTCATTATCGAAAAGCACGTTCACCAAGACACGGCAAATCCCCTCTTTCTGTTTTTATTATTTTCACCAATCCACAACTGAATTTATCCTTTCCCAAATGATCTCACTGAATCCAGAATTCATTACTAGTCGCTGCATTGTTTTACCTGTGTCCAAGCTCCCTTTTATAAGGCACCCTGGTGAACTCATCGTAATGAGGTCCAAAATCACTGAATCCCCCGTCTCTCACCGCAGGCGGTGCTGAATATTCATGATCAAATGGTTATTAAATCTCCAGCGAAAAATTACCCTCAGAAAATAATCAACACGAAGAAAAAAACAGAAAAAACAGAAACTGTGCAGCAAGGTAAAATGGGATCATATCAGCGGTCACAAAAAAATTTTAAATTCTGTTTTTTTTCGCGTCGAACGAGAGAAAAATCAATTTACACTGACAGAAGGTTTCATTTGTTATCAATCAATGCTATTTGTGTTCATAAAATGGACACTTTTCAATAGTTAACAAGTAGTCTAGTTAACAGAGCCTCTTCGTTAATTATTCCTATTACTTCTTAATTCATATTTAAATTTAGTTCACATGATCTCGATGTTGGAATTTATTTTTCTCTTCTCGATCCAAAAAACAATTGTAATGTTCGGATGGTTCTTATATCGACATGTAAGGTCGTAAATTATACTTTACAAGATCTATGCGCGCGCTCTCGCGCGCGCTGGTCTATTCATTTATTGAAATGAAGAAATGGAATTCATTAAATTTCA